AGCAATAAGAGTACCTTTTGCAAAAAAGGGATCAAATCTATATTCCAAAGAATTCTCAACAGCTTCACAAAATATCAGCCTCCATCATCTTTGTGCAGACAAAGAGAAAGGGGAGGCCCTGTCTTTAAATCCCTTTCCTAAAGTAATGTATTTTTGTACTTCTAAATTCATTTTTAAAATGATTTTTCCTTTTCATGTGTTTCATCTTTATCATTTTGAGATGTTTTAACATACAAATGCGGTACAGAAATAGATTAATAGATGGATGCCCAGAAAAATTCAAAATCCAGGGGACACATTTTCTTCTTTTCCGAAACTTTGCAAACCAAACTCAGGGGCCCAAGTTATTGTATCCCACTACCTGGATACCTGCATGTTCTCCCGCAGGTCTGTTGCCTCCCGCAATGGCTGAGTGGCTGTGCGAAACACTTCGTCAATGGCCTTGATTCCTGTGGCCTTGGTGGATGTGTATTCCCGCATGTGTCGACCCTTGCGCCCTGAGAGCCCCCGCCGGTGTGCTTTGCCTCCTCCCCGCCGGTTGGTGATGGCCACGTGCACAAACAAAGTAGCATTAGGAAGTGGCTCACCAGCCACAGATTGGAGGGGCACGTGACGATAGCCTGTCTGGAGACACTCAAAGGGGATGGTATATTGAGCAATGAACTCATCCCCAATATAATCATCGTCAAGCACCATGAACCGGAGAATCGCTAGCTCAGGGAGGTTCACCTGAAACTCCAGGGTCTCCTCAAAAACAGGGTTATCCCCACTCTGCAGCACTGTCTTGGTGCGCTTTTCTGCACAGTCAGCAGGAATGCCGTGCATCTCAACACAGACATATGGCTCTACCACATCACCCTTGGCTCCAGATCCTTTGGGTTTGGGCAGATTCTGACCACTAATGACTTTGAGATGCAATAACTGGGCTGAAATGCCAGGTAAGGTGTCCCTGGTGTTTGCACTGAAGTAAGACACCTCCTCGCGCATAATGGCTGGGCGGAGCACATAGCCACAACCTCCATTCTGGCGGAACCAGCCGGCATTCAGATCTATCATGAGACCAGGTGTCTGGTAGTTCATGGCCACCATCTGGCAGCCACATTTCCAGAAGTCCTGAGGGTTCATGTTGCTAGCATCAATGCGCATGGGGCTGGGGTAAACACGTGACAGGAAGCGCTTGTTGTAGGCCACAAAGTCCTCTGGTTCCTCATTGGCATAGCGCCCAGCCTCTACCTCACTGAAGGAGCACACCTCCCAATAGCACTGGCTCCGCCGAGAGATCTCAAAGCTCTGGAAAGACACAGTCTGGCACAGGCTCACGAGATCTGAAAGTTCACGGCACAAGACGCGCTGGGAGCGGGGATGCTCCCTGTCCCCTTCAGAGATTGGGAGGCCTAGCTCTGAGGCTTCATCATCATCAGATACATCTCCCTCACTTGACTGACAGTTTGGAAGAAGCTTCCGGCTTTTTATGAGAATGTATCCCTTGAGTCTTTCTGGGGAGGGCAGATAGGCTTCATTTGGGTTTGGAGGTGTCAGGTACAGCTTGTCCCCGAAAGTCTTCCTCAGATGCTCAGCCACAAGCCTCTGCTGGGCAACACAGCAGCGTACTGAGAGGCACAGGATAAGTGGAAACTTGGAGGATTCAAAGGCATGTTCAGCAACGGCAGCCACCACCCTGGAGAAGGCCAAACGGCTCCCTGCACCAACCACAGGCTCACCAGATGAACCATCACAAACCACCAGTTCCAAGCTACGGCAACCAGCCTTAAGGGCTGCCACATAACCCCCAATGTCTGAGGTGGAGCCTCCCCAGAAGCAACTGTCCTCAGCCAAGCACGCTCCATGTGCAGAGCTAATAAAGTAATGGGAAAGTGGCTGTGTCATGTCCTGGCACACCTTCCGGTGCTGTGGGTCAAATATGTCACAATCAGCTGAAAGGAGGTAGCGAGTGAAGCCATCAATGGCCAAGTAGCCCTTTTCCCGGCCCTCTTTGGATGGCTCATATTTGCCAATGATCTCCATGCACATCTCTTCTGTTACTTCTTCCATACCCTGCTCTGCCTCTAAGAAACTCATCAGATCTCTCAGGCCCATGTATTCTTTATTGCTGGAAAACTGAACCAGGAGGAAAAATACCTCAGGCCTGGTACACAGCTCACAGTATGCCTTTATGAAGACTTGACAGTTCACTTCCTCTCCAAGCCGCTCACTGGCTGCTTTCTGGAGCTCTTTGAACTTCAGCTCAATTGTTGAGGCCTTCATGCCAGGGTTGAGAGCACGAATGAGCTGTACTGCACGAGAAATCGGGATCTGACCCTCTTTTTCTAGGTCTGCAATGTCAAAGACAGAGGAGATCCAGGAGGTGCGGGGATTTGGGTAACCAGTCTCAGGAGCCTCATCCGGAGTGTGTTTCCCATATGAGGCCAAATATCGCAGCCCCATCACCCATGCATTCACCACATCAGCAGAGCTCGCCACCAGGTCAAGAGATTCATAGTTCTCTCCATAGATTATGGAGAACGCGCATTCATCTGGGAACTGGTCTGAGAGGCCGTTGGAACGCAACACGGGAGTTTTTTTCCCAACTCGCACCTCCCTGACTGACTTGATTTCAATCTTGGCTTTCTCAGAGTCCTTCTTGGAAGGTTCCCAGTGCATGAAACGTAGGTCTGGGTCCAGCACAAAGAATCGGCTGTACATGCGGGAGTTAGAACGCACTTTCTTCATCTCACAGCCCTCCAACATGAAAGAGATGCAGGCAGCTGTGCTGTTGAGCTTGCGATTGCTAGGCATGGTGCTGAAGGAGACCGTCTTCTTCTTCTGTGGCTGCACACGGCGCTGGCGGGATCCATCCTGCAAGAATAGGAAGGAGAACAGATAAATCAGGAAATGCAGTGCAGGGGTAATGCCTTATTATTATTTATTTTTTTAAAGGCAATGCAATAGAAAAAGGTGAGGCAGAAAGGGAGAAATGCTTGGCTTAGTTCTGAATTCCATCATCCTTCATGGCTTCCTATTATAGCAATGTGACTTGGAAGCCAGAGAAAGGCTTAAGCCAGAATGAAGAGAATATCTCAAGGAAAACAACACAAAGCATGCAAACTACAGAAGATGAAGAAACAAGGAGATTGAGAATGGTTTCAAAAACCCTCAGTATGGATCTACGCTACAAAGGAAGACAAAATGTTTGGCATAATTGTTTTGTTTTAATTTTAATTGCTGCTTCATTCAGGTTCAGGGAACCATGGACTGAACCAGTTACGGCTGGAAGGAGAAGCAGGCTTTTTGCTCACTAGGATCACATTTAACCTTACCTCATTAGATACAGCCCACCCCCAAGGCACAGGGGCCAGATAAAGCCCATTTCTGGTGCTAAATATACCTACATCCGACCATTCTGCTGTTTCCTTCCCCTCATCCTTCCTGATGGTTCAACCGGAAGACCAGTTTGGAGGTGGTGGGGTGGTGGCTGGGACTGACAGAATGGAGTGAAAAATAACAGGCAGGATGGAAGAAAGGAGGAAGAGGAGAGGGATGGCAAATCCAAGGGTTGATTTCTCAAAAAAGATCCAGGGCTAAAAATTCTAGTGAGGCTTAAATCCTAAACATACTAAGTTTTGGATGTAATGTGGTGTGTCACAGCAATCTTGATTTTGGATCAATAAGTCCTCTATTTTACTGAGTTGCTTGATATATGATTATGCATTAATCTAATAGTATTTTATTATGATTTTTTTTAGTTGCTTTGAACTTTTTAAAAGAAACCACAGGTATGTTTTAATAATCAATTAACAATTTCTCCCTGTGTGTGCTCAGAGTTAAAGTATTATGCCCTTCCTCTGAAAACACACTCCACATCTCAGAACTATCCCTGACTAAAGTTTTGAGCCCTGCACTGCAAAGGAACAAGACAGTAACAAAACAATTACAGAATAGGTGGTGGGTTTTTTGGCCATTTTTGCCAGTGTTACTCTCTGAAGTGCTACAGACTTTGTCTGCATGACACACTAAAGGCTTTTTCTCACATCTCAGTTAAAGTACTGTCCACCCATTCTTCAGCCAGCAAAAAAAAATATCAGCATAAAAATCAGCGGTCCCACTGCCAATCCCTATCTTGCCACTGTAACTGTGGTTCTGGCTGGTTATTCTGACTTTAGGCTTCCACAGTGGGCTAAACAGACGTATTGGTTAAATCCTCTGGCTTAGCTGTCAGCCACCTTTCTGAACATCACTAGCTGAGGGAAACCACCCACCAATCACACTGTGGTGATTGGCAGACAGTTGTGACAGATGACCAGACCTGCATGTTTTAGTGTCTATCAAAACTCAGGACCTTTGCAAGCCCAGATATCAGATGACCGGTAGGATGGGGCAGGGGTGGTGCCAGTAAAGTGGGAATGCCCGGTTCTTTCAAACCTGCCCCCTCGCAGAGCCCGTGGATCAGCGATTTGGAGGGTTTGCTTTGAACAGGGGTTTTGCGTTGTATTAAAGCTGCACAGTAAAACAGAACAGCCGGAGCAAGATAAACCATGAGCCAGCTCTTTCAAATCCAGTGAAAGATCTGTTACTCTCCCACCTCACTTACCCAGCTACTGAATCAACAGATTGCACTGAGCTGCCAGAGGAGATCGACCAGGGCAAGGGGAAGCAGCTCATAAGCACCAACCAGAAGTGACCGATTAGTGCTGGGCTCATCCCACCCCATACACTGGCTGAACCACTGCAAAGTTTGGCAGATTGTACACACCCTAAACTGACGGAGGCTATCAGCTTAAGGGGAAAACACTAGTTTGACACTAGTAAAGTTAACCAGGCTTAAAGCTGCTCACATCATGGGCACATGGCAGAATAAAAATATTGCCAAAGGATGTTGCTACCATGTAAGAGACAAGTGGGAAAGACTTTAAGCTGTACTTAGCATTAATTAGGCTGGAGACTAACCTGCCAATCATTGCACAGACAATCAGGTTAACTACTGAGTCACTGGATTTTGCTCCTTTGTTGTGGAGACGATATCCCAGCAACCTGAGCCCACAACAGCCTAATTGAGCTCAGAACCACTATATACGCGTGCGTGTGTGTGTGCATGTGGTGGTGGGGTGCTGGCACATCCTTTTCCCACTTCTTTTTTTCCCCCCAAATAACCTGAGCCTCTAGGAAGTGAAAAACTAAGCGAAGCAACACAAGCTACATGAGTGGTTCTACTTTGCAGCCACTCTGGCTTCCCTTTATATCTCACAGAAATTACATTTTGTTTTTGTTGTGTATTCTAAAGTAAAAGCAAGATTACAACAGCTAGTCAGGCAGAAATAAAATGTCATGGCATCACCTGGATACGCTTCTCCTATTGAATAAAAAAGACAACTTTTTTTTAAACTGCCCTAAATCCAGCGGGAGACCAACATATTTTGCAAAGCAAAATACAACAAATCAACGCATTTCAAGGACGGAGATAAGCTGCCCAAATAACTCAGTCCAAGGAATTGTAATTCAGTCACCAAGGGTCATCAACTAGACAAGCACAAAGATGGATGGGCTTCAGGCACAACCAACCCTTGCAAGTTAGGACTATGTTTGTATAAACATCCTACCCAAGACAACTTCATTCTGCACTGATGACAAAGCAGAGGCATCATTCATATTAAAAGAATGGTCTAAAACCGCCAAGGAACTTCAGCAAGCCTGGGCTCCACATATTCCTTCCATGCCATTTTTCAAGGTTGTTGAGCTTGCTCCCGGCTTTCCAAACTTACTCTGTTTTCTAACCCCACCTCTGAGATCAACAAGGAACTGTTCAAATGTGCAAAGGTCACGGGGGAGCACTAATCTAAACACTGGATTTGTTTGTCTCGAGGATATCCAGTTTTTTTTCCCTGCGGCAGACTTAAACTGATTACTGCCTTGCAGAGTTGCAATAAATATCTCAGTGCCCGGGGTGGGATGATGGAATGAAAGAAAGGAGCAATCACTTCCAGCCATTTCAATTTGAATCTTTTGTGAGCATTCACTCCACTTACTCATGCCATTACCAGCAGAGAGAGGAAACCCTATTTACTTTAGAGCGCAATTGATTCCTAAAAAGCTGTGCTCCAATCCAGGATTTGCACTCCCATCAAGGCAGCCCTATACCACAATTCAATAATCCTGCTTCCATGTATGTATGTATGTATGTATGTATGTATGTGTGTATGTATGTATATATATATGTGCAATTACTGAACTGATCAGTAATTCTGTCCTGTACATACAGTACTGCAGTGGGAGGGGGCTGAAGCCCCATGCAGAGCTTTTGATCAGTATGCAAAACATTCCAGGTTCAACCTGGGCACCTCTAGACTGGATTGGAAAATCTCTGGCCTGAAGTCTACGAAAGTTGTTGGCAATCAGCGTTAACGTTGCTGGGTTAGATGGATTTATTTATTTATTAATTCAATTTCTAAGGTTGCCCAGTTGCAAAGTGATTCAAGGCAATGTACACATAGGGCTAAAAACACATCATAACAAAAGAAAAAGAAATAACAAAACAACCACTCAAAGGGAGGACAAATGCGTCAATTGCATAACATTCCGGCGCATTCACAAATTGCCTTGGCCCAGTGCCTGCCAAAAAAACTCAGGCCTTCCTAAATCATAGCAGAGTCAGAGCAATACAGACTTTGGGGTGGGTTGGGTTGGGGTATGCAGTTCCAGAGAGTTGGCGCAATGATAGGGAAGACATAGCCATGGGGTCCCATAAGATGACATAGTTTTATTGATGGGACTCACAACATGCCAACCCTGTATGATCTTATAGGAAGGGCAGAAATTACTGAAGAAAGGCGATCCTGCAAACATCCAGGCCCAAAGACTTAGATCAATAGTCTGAGTCACTAAAAAGCAGGTTTTTGTTTCCTTTAATTTTAAAAATTCAATACCTATACACAGATAGAGGTCTCCAGTTGTTTTAACATCTTGACTGCAAGAGCACCACAAGGTGGCTAAGGTAGCACCTGGCAAAGCCAGTAGAGATTTCAGCTGGATTTCTGAAACTTAAAGGTATCTTTCCTTTGTCATATTTTTGAGCCCTGAGCAGCATTTTTTCACTGAGATGTAGTATCATTGTCTGTAAAATGGGAATACTTCCAGGTTCAATTCAAAGTGCTGGTCATGACCTATAAAGCCCCGTATGGCATGGGACTACGGTATTTGAGGGACTGCCTCACCCCAGTCACAACTACCCGTCCCATCAGATCCAGCAGAAAAGGCATGTTGCAGGTCCGTGTCATCTGATGGGACCCAGGAGGAGAGCTTTGTCTGCCGCAGCCCCCCTGAGGTGAGATTGGCCCCGACTTTGCTGGCCTTCTGGAAGAGCGTGAAGACGTGGCTTTGCCATCTGGTCTCGGGATCCAGTGATGTTGCTGGAGAGCCTGTTAAATGGTTGTACTTTTAGGAAAATGAACAGTGCTCTCCCTCAGGTTACATTTTTTATGGTTTTAAGAGTTTATTGTTTTTAATGTTTTTAATGATTTTTTTTGTGGCTATTTTTTGGTTATTTTTGTATTGTTTTTTGGATGTTGAACTTCAGAAGCCACCCAGAGTCACGGCAGTGAGAATGGGTAGCTATATAAAGCAAACAAACAAACAAACAAACACTGGGATACACCCGTGCCACAGGACTTGAGCAAAGGCCATCTTAATAAAACATCCAAAGAGCTTCACTGATTAAAAATGCTCTACGAATGAAGCTTTTCTCCTTCATACACACAGCATATGGAGCCAATGTTCAACTATGATTAATAAGCAAAAGGACAAAGCTGGCTGCTGTCCCAGGTTGCAATTGGCTGGGAAGGAAAAATTTATTAACAGGAAAACCT